ATTTAACTTTGACCCTTGACCTTTGTAACCCTGCAAAAGCTTAATTTGAGTGAAATTTTTAAATTAATTTAGTCACTTCATATCCATTTTCATTGCAAAATGTTTGAAATTTAAAATAAAAAGTGAAAATATAAATTTGCTTTTGAATGACTCAAAATATATTTTAAAAATAAACACACCTTAAGCTTTATAAATGGATAAATGGTAAAAATTATTTATAAGTGGGAAAAGATCTTACCGAAAAATGCAATTTATTCATTCTTTAGGCCATTATAAAGTATGATTGATGAGTTTGCGGCCTGGAATTTAAAAGCAGACGACAAAACTCGCTCCAGATTATTGACAGCAGATGGCGCTACGAATGAAAAATGACTGCCAGCCGAACTTATTATCGACGACGTGTTCGGACATTTTTTTTTTTCCTTCCTTTTTTTTAACAAACCCCGAAAAAAAATTTAGGTCAGTTATATAATTAAAACGAGAAATGTGATATTAATAATATCTAANCGTATCGCTCGAAAATGTTAGCGTGAGTGTTGTTTTATGAACAATAATAACCGAAGTACGTGACTGGGAGCATTTTTATTAACCATAATAATTGAAATTTGTATCGGAGGATTTTTATGGATCTCTAGAATATTTCTTTTTTCTTTTTTCCTTCCTTTTTTTTAACAAACCCCGAAAAAAAATTTAGGTCAGTTATATAATTAAAACGAGAAATGTGATATTAATAATATCTAATAAAAATTTTCCGTGCGAAATTCACTTTCGAGATTTACACGAAAATTGATCCCTAATTCGCGAAGGCCGGTCACGCGATCTTCGGGGAGAAAGTTTTAAAAATGACATAGGTAAAGTTGGTCACTGGGTTAAGTGTCTAGTGGCGTGATGGACTTTCTGCAGAAGTCGAGCGGCTACGAGAACAAGGTCGCGTGATTTTAACCTGGATAAGGATTGCGCTACGAATTTGGTCGCGTGATCGCTTTTCGGCTGTTAGCGGCTTTTGCCGGACCCCGTGATTAATAGAGAAAGGATCGGCTTCCGGTGGTCGCGTGATCAACAGGTGCAATTTATGTGATCGTTTACGTAATCACGCCAACCATTTTTGGGTTCTAGAACGCGGTGGCACCGATGCAAGCGCTAATATCGGAGGAAGGGCAAAAAGATTTTCGTGCAGGTTAGAAAAATATATATATTTCCGAGCCCATTATAAAAAAAAATATATAGACTTGCCCGTTTTTAAGATCGATTGCGATCGATTCCCATCGCTAAATTAAGCATCGAAAGTTAAAAAAATAAAAAATAAAGCAGACATGGAATTGATATTCTGGCTTTACATATTTAAAATCGCATCTTTTCCTTCTAGTTAAAGCAAAATATTATAAAAATTTCAGAAATATAGTAAAAAATTAACTGAAAAATATGTTAAGAATTGAAATTCGGTTTAATAAATATTTTATAATTTAAAATTTGAAAAAAAAAAACTAAAAAATGGTAAAATTTGGAGGTTTTAGACGCAAAATTGGGGCTAAAAGTATCTTAAAAATGAATGAAAAATATATTAATGAAATCAGAAAGTTTGGTCCAATTTTATGCTTAAAATTGGCCCAAAATAAATAAATAAACGAAAATTGAACCGGAATTAATTAAAGAAGAAAAATATAAAAAATTAATGAAAAATTTTAAAATAAATCAGAAGGGTTTTTATAATCAAAATTAATTAAAAATTACGAATAAATGAATAATTTTAAGCATAAAATAGGGCTTAAAATTTCCTCATAATTAAAAACAAAAAAATTTAAATTGTATGCGTAAAAAGTTGTATATAATTAAGAAGGAAAAGAGCAAAATTATCAATGGAAAAAGACGAGAAGGTCCGAGTCAACAACATAATGAACGATATAAAAAAAAAAAAGAGAGAGACCATCTAATACATAAAAGAAAATGCCAATTAAACGAGAACAAACTGCACTCCAGCCGATGTTAATTCTAGCAAGAAAAATTAAACGCTGAGGTAAAGAGAAAGAGAGAGAGAAAAGAAAGAAAGAAAAAATAATAATAGATAAAAGAGTGCACAATCCAGGTATAAAACAAGTAAAAATAAAAAAGGACAAAAGCCAAAAAAGAAAAATCTAAATCTGATTCAGACGTCGATATATTGATTATCCTTCCGATAGAACGGCACAAGCGCTCATTAACGTCAAAGATAAGCCACACGGTAAATTATCCTTTAATCCCTAAAAAAATCCCTAAGAGAAAGGCGAAACCCAAGAAACTAATAACTACAAAAATCGCTCGGAGAATAATAAATTATTATTATTAATTAATTCGGACGGAGGTGGACGACATTTAGAGGGCGCGCCTGTAGTAGTAATATATATGTGTTTTTTTTTTATAGTACACACACATATATATATACATACATATATATATCTAGCGGATGTAGTACTCTAAACCACATAGAGGGGTACTTATAATTATTTTCGTCTTAGGGGTATGCGATCAAAAAAGTTTGGAGATTACTGGTATAGAGAGAGAGCAGCAAGTATCCCTCTACCAGAAGGGTTCTCCACTATAAAAAGTCACATAAGCATTCCCAGGTTGCACTAGTCGGGGCAGTGGGTATATTGGCGGGTGACTTGGAGTCAATGCCACTTTTTCGGCTGCAACATTGGCCTAGTTCTCTGGAGCCCAGGTAATGCAGAAAGGTGACAATAGTGCAGACACAATGGAAAGTCAATGTAGGATCCAGCCAACCAGTCCAGTCCCTTTTTCTGTTTGATGAGTCTGTCAACTTATAATTTGGCATTTAACTTTGACCCTTGACCTTTGTAACCCTGCAAAAGCTTAATTTGAGTGAAATTTTTAAATTAATTTAGTCACTTCATATCCATTTTCATTGCAAAATGTTTGAAATTTAAAATAAAAAGTGAAAATATAAATTTGCTTTTGAATGACTCAAAATATATTTTAAAAATAAACACACCTTAAGCTTTATAAATGGATAAATGGTAAAAATTATTTATAAGTGGGAAAAGATCTTACCGAAAAATGCAATTTATTCATTCTTTAGGCCATTATAAAGTATGATTGATGAGTTTGCGGCCTGGAATTTAAAAGCAGACGACAAAACTCGCTCCAGATTATTGACAGCAGATGGCGCTACGAATGAAAAATGACTGCCAGCCGAACTTATTATCGACGACGTGTTCGGACATTTTTTTTTTTCCTTCCTTTTTTTTAACAAACCCCGAAAAAAAATTTAGGTCAGTTATATAATTAAAACGAGAAATGTGATATTAATAATATCTAATAAAAATTTTCCGTGCGAAATTCACTTTCGAGATTTACACGAAAATTGATCCCTAATTCGCGAAGGCCGGTCACGCGATCTTCGGGGAGAAAGTTTTAAAAATGACATAGGTAAAGTTGGTCACTGGGTTAAGTGTCTAGTGGCGTGATGGACTTTCTGCAGAAGTCGAGCGGCTACGAGAACAAGGTCGCGTGATTTTAACCTGGATAAGGATTGCGCTACGAATTTGGTCGCGTGATCGCTTTTCGGCTGTTAGCGGCTTTTGCCGGACCCCGTGATTAATAGAGAAAGGATCGGCTTCCGGTGGTCGCGTGATCAACAGGTGCAATTTATGTGATCGTTTACGTAATCACGCCAACCATTTTTGGGTTCTAGAACGCGGTGGCACCGATGCAAGCGCTAATATCGGAGGAAGGGCAAAAAGATTTTCGTGCAGGTTAGAAAAATATATATATTTCCGAGCCCATTATAAAAAAAAATATATAGACTTGCCCGTTTTTAAGATCGATTGCGATCGATTCCCATCGCTAAATTAAGCATCGAAAGTTAAAAAAATAAAAAATAAAGCAGACATGGAATTGATATTCTGGCTTTACATATTTAAAATCGCATCTTTTCCTTCTAGTTAAAGCAAAATATTATAAAAATTTCAGAAATATAGTAAAAAATTAACTGAAAAATATGTTAAGAATTGAAATTCGGTTTAATAAATATTTTATAATTTAAAATTTGAAAAAAAAAAACTAAAAAATGGTAAAATTTGGAGGTTTTAGACGCAAAATTGGGGCTAAAAGTATCTTAAAAATGAATGAAAAATATATTAATGAAATCAGAAAGTTTGGTCCAATTTTATGCTTAAAATTGGCCCAAAATAAATAAATAAACGAAAATTGAACCGGAATTAATTAAAGAAGAAAAATATAAAAAATTAATGAAAAATTTTAAAATAAATCAGAAGGGTTTTTATAATCAAAATTAATTAAAAATTACGAATAAATGAATAATTTTAAGCATAAAATAGGGCTTAAAATTTCCTCATAATTAAAAACAAAAAAATTTAAATTGTATGCGTAAAAAGTTGTATATAATTAAGAAGGAAAAGAGCAAAATTATCAATGGAAAAAGACGAGAAGGTCCGAGTCAACAACATAATGAACGATATAAAAAAAAAAAAGAGAGAGACCATCTAATACATAAAAGAAAATGCCAATTAAACGAGAACAAACTGCACTCCAGCCGATGTTAATTCTAGCAAGAAAAATTAAACGCTGAGGTAAAGAGAAAGAGAGAGAGAAAAGAAAGAAAGAAAAAATAATAATAGATAAAAGAGTGCACAATCCAGGTATAAAACAAGTAAAAATAAAAAAGGACAAAAGCCAAAAAAGAAAAATCTAAATCTGATTCAGACGTCGATATATTGATTATCCTTCCGATAGAACGGCACAAGCGCTCATTAACGTCAAAGATAAGCCACACGGTAAATTATCCTTTAATCCCTAAAAAAATCCCTAAGAGAAAGGCGAAACCCAAGAAACTAATAACTACAAAAATCGCTCGGAGAATAATAAATTATTATTATTAATTAATTCGGACGGAGGTGGACGACATTTAGAGGGCGCGCCTGTAGTAGTAATATATATGTGTTTTTTTTTTATAGTACACACACATATATATATACATACATATATATATCTAGCGGATGTAGTACTCTAAACCACGCTAACACGGCGGCCCTAATCTACGTTAACACGGTCGTCTTGACAACAGCACATAATCAGATGGGGGAATTTAATGGTGTACCAGAAGGCAGCTTGCGGTTGGAAGGCTGGGAATTCTGTCAGCTGCTCCGACGACACACGTCTAATCGTTACTACACAGATCCGTACAGGTGGGGGAACGTCACATGTCGGTGTAACTGCCTCCATTGATTCGTCGTTATTACGCGTTTGTGTTGTGATGCCGGACGTATAAAGAATGTAAGCAAGACAGTTAATAAATATTGAAAAATGGCTCTCAATAACTTGTATAGTTCCAATGGCGGAATCTACGTTCGACCCTTGGGTCTTCCCGATTATTATCCCGTCCCAGGTAAGATTTTTTTTTTCTTCCCCTCTCTTACATTATCATGTTAATTTCACATCCCTGTATTGTGTACGCTCTCGTGCTGTGTTCTTTCTGTGTGCTGCTTGTAAACAAATAGGGGGGATTTGTAGTGTAAAAATCGAAGGATCTATATAACTGTGTGGTGCAATATTTACTCTATGTGTAATACAGTAATAATACCTGCAATGTTTTCATAAGTGCATCACCACTTAACTATGGAAGCTAGGTAAGTAATATTACTAATAAGAGCCTATCTGGAACAGTTTTATGAAGCGTATCGCTCGAAAATGTTAGCGTGAGTGTTGTTTTATGAACAATAATAACCGAAGTACGTGACTGGGAGCATTTTTATTAACCATAATAATTGAAATTTGTATCGGAGGATTTTTATGGATCTCTAGAATATTTCTTTTTTCTTTTTTTTTCCTTCCTCCGCCGCTTGTTTGCATTAAATAACTAGTTTTAGTTTAATGAGGGTTAAATCTAGTATCATATATTTTATTATTTTTTTTTAGCTTTTAAATAATATGTATTTTGAAATTGTATAATTCTTTAATGTGTTTTTATAGGCCTACGTGTTACTCGAAATAAAATTCTACATCTGGAAAGTTCCTTTATTAATCGTAATTCTAGGAAAACCTACTTGGAACAGTTTATGCGTACTGTAACAGTGGCAATATATAGCTGAAATAATTTATGAAACATTAACGACCAGAATGCGTATCGGTTACGGTTTTTACGAGCTGTAATACTTCGAATACGTATGTGGAAGGTATCTATAATGTTTAATGTTCGATACACTCATCCATATATATATGCATCTAGTAATTTGCGAGTATACAAGTAAATATATTACAAACATTTATCAGAGTATAGCTTTTGCAATGCATACCCTGTATTCTTTTTTGTACAAGCGCACACTCCAAGTATACATCACATGTTTTTTTTTTACTAGTTCAACACTATTAGTGTGTTATATCAAGCGTAACAATCGAAATTACACGGAGAGAATATTTATAAAAATTAATAACTCGTTATAGGATGATGTTACGCAACTGAAATGAGCAGAAATTTCCTCTAATAATTTAAAAATTACAAGGTTAAAGAAGCTGCCAGAAAGGGAGGTTACAATGTTTTTTAAAGAAAAAAAAACACAAACTGTGTTTTTATAGGGGTACGTTAAAGGTTGATTTTAAAGGTTTATAGAACCCTAATTAAGTTATGTAAATAAAAAAAAATTGAGTGCTGTAAAGATTTATAGAGGGTTAGAGAAGAGATTGAAACGCAAGAAAGTGTGTCATATAGGTTAACGGGAAAGCGGGAAAGAATTGAGATGTAGAAAGGATGCCATAAAGATCTGCAGGAGTATGGTTAAGTGTCGGCGTAAAAGAGACGTTGTTGTCAGTTATATTTCAAAAGCTAATACGAGACAAATAGTGAGTTAATATGTATTGTAGAATGCCCTTTATATTGTTCAATATAGGCGTATTTCTATGCGTAAATCAGTGCACCGTTCGCAGTTATGGACTGTTTATTATGCGGAATAATTACTTAAAACAGGTAAAAGATTACCTTTTGTTTCTTTAACATTTTTTAATCTTTTCAAAGTATGCTTAGTGTACCTTGGAACCGCCACATTTACATTATATATATCCGTAACACGATCCTCTTTAAAGTATATTAGTTTCCTTCAGTTGAAAAATATTATATTTATATATACATTCATATATTTTTAAGTACAGAATGCTTAGAATCGATAAAATAATTTCTAATATTTTAAAATATCTTTCGGGTATTACTTCTATTCACGTTATAAACATTACTTCACTACAGTTCCTATTGTTGTTTAGTATTGTTTACCTTATAAATCCATTAAATTTATTATAATTCGCTTCATAAAACTCAAAAATAGTTCATTAAATATATACTCTAAACGTTAAAAAAAATAAAATAAACGATAATTAATTTTATAAGTAAAAAATGTTTAAGAAAAAAAATACTGTAATTTCTGTAATACATACATTTGAATTTAAAACGCGTGACGTCACCCAATTTAAAAATTTAAAAATAATGATGTCACGCACTTAAGAAGAAGAATTGAATCGATTGGTGGAAAATATTTATCATATCATAAATTTGAATATTGTAGTAACTATCGATTGAAATCGATATTATAAATTGCTCGTTAAGTGTATGTACAATTTAAATTTCTTTTTTAATTTTTTATTTAGACTAAACATTATAACTACAGGTGTGTTGACCGAAGATGTTTGTATAATAAATTATGTAACGGGACAAACGAAAATAAATAAACACGACTTTAACGGAGATAGCGATTAAGATGCAATATTTGTTAATAAAATACGTTCAGATAAAATTATATTTACAGTAAATCTGATATACTAGACATTTACGGAACGATGACGTAATTTAAATTTCAAATTTCTGCACTTACGAATGGGGAATAAATTGATTGGACGATTTTAAAATTCAAATAATTAACTTTAAAAAATCGTCTTTTTAGCCAACACTGCGATAACTAAACACCAGAAAATAATTATTCTAACGTTTATTCTAGCCGTGTCAAACGAATTATCTCCATCCGAAATGAAAAAGGTTGCTTTATAAGGCTAACCTATTAAAAGCGTGGTTTCTAGCCAACTGACAAAACTATGACTATTGTCAGCAACGATCTGTGAAAACCCAACATGTCAGCAACAGAGAGGTCATGTTCAGGGGTCAACTAGTCTTGCCGTCTGTCGGTAATCAATTCATTCCCTTCCCAACCTTCCTACCCTCCCCCTCCATCACTGACAAATGGGACTTCCTGCTGCTCGACGTTGTCATAGTAACGGTTTTGACGTGATGAGTGTGACACGTCATGTAACCACTAAGTACGCCATCTACGAGTGGAATTGTCACTTTTGCGCATTCAATAATTTCCATTGTGATTTTTTTTAAAGCCCATCGATACTATAGAATTAATCGTAACATTTACGTAGAATACAGTTTGCTACGCATTAAAATAACAAAAAATAAGAAAATAAATAAAAAAGAACAGGAAAATTATAACTAATATCCATCGCAGTTATGCTTCACTGCATGTAAAAATACATTTGCAAGGAAGACAATAATAGCAGGGGCGTCGTATTATCTGACATAAGTTATCATTATTAAAAATAAATTGCACTAATGCGAATTAATGCAGCAATTACGAGCTTTAAATCATAAAAGTAATTAGTTCGTGATGTCACTAGAATACCGTGACGTCACCGTTTAATCAATATTGCAACGATTTATTGTATTTTTTAAAGAACTTTAAAATAAAAAATTAATCCTATCGACAAAAGAGATAAATATTTAAAATTTAATTTTTTTTAATGTTTTTAATTCTTGTTCAAATCAGATATGACGTAGAGGCGACGTTTTACGTAAAGTCGTAATTATAGAAATTGCTAATGACGTCACTGCGAAAGAATCGTCTGCTTCTTACCAATTTTTAATTTGTATTAATCGATAATGTGACATTTAATAATGTTTCAATATTTATTCAGTCTTTAATATTTATAGAGTATATTATTAATGTAGAATTGTCGATTTTACAGGTCATTAAAAAAAAATCTAATTTTAAAATCGGAAGTGACGGCATGCATATTTAATGACGTCATTGTATATTAATATTATTATTACATTAAAAAATCAATAGATACGTTGCCGATGTTATGTATAAGATTATATATTTTTTTATTATATATTAAGAAAAATAATTACGCAGATAGATTTTGATCTGAAGGTGGCAAGTTTTTAAAATTTTAAATCATTTTTTTTTTTTTTGTACTAACTCGAGATTGGTGACGTCGTTAATAATAAACTTTAAAAAATAGCGCAAGAAACGCCGCATTAATAATTTATATGTTATTTTATCATTTAAAAAATAACATAAAAATTGTAAGAGTAATAAATAATTCATCTCAAACGTAATATATTTTTCGAATCTTTTGTAAATAACGGAAGTGACGAATGCAGCGCCTCTACCAATAATTTTTAGTTCTAGTTTTTTTATAATTAAAGATTCAAATCTATTGTAATAGAGTTTACTCTTGTTACAAGGGAAGATTATTAACAACCCAAAGGAAACACAATTACAGTAAAACCTGTTTAAAACGGAAACCTGCCAAACCGGAAAAATAGTCGATGCGTGCAAGTCCGGTTTACACAGGTTATATATTTTACAATTTTTTTCGTTCCTACTGTAGGTATTATATTACATATTATATATTATATTACTATACTATGATGCATTATACGTTATATATACCAGGGCTGAACCAAACCTGGTTACAATAGAAGCCACATACCGCTTATTAGAAATACTTGAGAGCCTCATCTATATTGAAATGGTAATTTATAGGTTATATACGGTGAAACCCGTGTTAACCGGATTCGTAGAGTACCGAATTCCGGTTTTTCATGTTTCCGTTTTAAACAGGTTTTTTTAAACAGAAAATTTTTGCGTTTCGAAGACTTTTTTCTGTTTAGAAAGGTTTCCGTTTTATTAAGGTTCCGTTTTGAACAGGTTTTGCTGTAACCTATACTGTGTACATATAAAGAGAGAGGGGGAATAGCAGCAAAGTCGAACGCCCAGCCCTAAGTAATAAGATGTCCAATTTACGGGAAAATATTCATATACTGTACTGTACTTAACAAGAGGGGGCAGCCTGGCGGCCTGCCTCCTGCCAAATCGCTTATCTGTTTGTAATTATTTAGCCTTAATAACCCAATAAAAATTCGACTGTTCGTCTGATATTCGAAGTTATTACCGGGTTGATTATAAACGTTCATATCAAATTTTTTCCTTTATTATATTTTTTAATTCTACTAGATCATTGATTCTCAAAAAGCGGGCGCTACCGGTATGATAGACGACTCAAGGTGGCCTTGGGGTGTTGGAAGACAGGCGACAAAAATCCATTTTGTAACAAACC